ATGCGAATTCAAAAAATTAGCTAACTGTCAAATGTAATACATATAAATTAAAGTAAGGAAAATTACATAATACAAAAATATAGAAACCGTAAATGTGTACCTGGTCACCTACTATTTAGGAGTATATTGACTCAATGGCCGAAAAATCTGAGCATTAAAACAACTAAATTCTCTACAGTGTACCCCTCCCAAATTTTCTTTTAAAAATAAATAGGAAAACAAAAAATAAATAAACTTATTAGAGCAACTCCAAGGGAGAGTTGCATCAAGGGTGGCAAACTCATATGCCACTCCAAATTCAAAATTTTTACTCAAGGAGGGTGACATCGAGGGTTGAAAAATATCATCAAGACTCTTGAGGTGGCATTTTTGCAACTCTGTAGAGAAAAATGGAAAGGTTGCAAATAGGTTGATGAATATAAATCCGTTAGATGAATATAGATCCAACGATTCATATAGATTGATGAATAAAAATATAAAAATGACACCCTATTTTGACACCTGTCATTGAAACAAATTTATAATTCAGAAATGTTAAAATACTGTTCAAAATTACAAATAAATGATTTGACACCTCAAAATAACAACTCCATTTAGAGTTGCTCTTAGGACCAGCCCGATAGGCAGCTCCCCGAAAGTCCCCTGCGATAAATTTGATGGACAAAACAATAGTTGTCTTTTCTCAAGATGGATCGGCCCGACCCTTGGGCAGCAAAGCAGCTAATTTATCATGTTGAAGTTTAATGGGTTCATGTCAAAACATATTTCATTTATATCAATTTATTTATCAATTAGTATCTAATGAATCGTGTTATATTGAGTTTGTATCGTATATAAATGGTATAAAAAAGAGTCGTGTTTATTAATCATGTTATATCGGGTCTACTCATTTAAAAAATAAGTGGCTTAATATCATATTTTGATACACTTATACTGATTCTTGGTGGGCCAGCCTAAACCCAGCCCATACCCTAAGTTAGACTTAAAGTAAAACCACAGGCCCACAATATTTATGATGTTTTCTTGTTTTGCGCTTCACAAGCTTTGTGATTAAGTCTTGTGCTCAAATGTTCATACACTGCACTTATGAAAAAGGGCTATAATATAATCTTTGAGGCAATTAGATATGTTTAGGAGGACGACAGTTTTCAAAGCCTTATACTCGGATAACAGAACTTTTAACCCCCCGATACGAGCGTTTAGGAGTTGAGTCTTTTATTTTCGATGAATTTAAAAGTTCGAGTCTTGAAAGAAACGACGTCATGATAGAAACATAACACAGTACTTACATGGCGGAAAACTTGATTGTGATGTTCATGCATGCCACTTCTTGGCTCTCATACCTCTTCTCCTTCATATGTCAACGTGCAGGTGAACAACTTCCATAATTTATTAGACTCAAGCTTGAATTTGTTATAGATTAATACCGCAATAAGTCAACACAACTGCCTGATCTTATAGAGCAAAATCCAAACATAATGTTATAGGATCGTGTATTTCTTTCAATTGGATCGTGTATTTCTTTCAATTGGTTAGACATTGACGTGGCAAAATAAAGAACACAAAGAACACTATAATTTTTTATGTATTAATCCAAAAGGAACACTCTGAATTCACAGAGAAAATATAGAAAACTCTAAAATATTGTATTATTGGATGAATAATTTGTACTACAAATGAGTAAAATAAATAGGAACTACCAAAATCTTAACCGTTCTCATAATTGATGTAAATTTTGTAAAATTATGAAAAAATATAGAATTTTTTTAATTAACATAAAAGCACATGTTATTTGGAGTCTAAAGAAACTGGCGACATTAAATTCAGAGTCTCATATGCTTTATTATTAATTTTTGAAATTTTTCCTAAAATGTAAAAAAAAAGAGATTTTCAAGACTTAAACGATGAAATTTAGCTCAAAATTGAAGAAGCTCATAGCAAAGCGATGTGTCTTGCTCGTTGGCTCAATCTGAATCAAACACCACTAGTCCCACTGAATTTTAAGTCTAATCCATTTTACCTCTACAACTATTAAATTTTGACCTTTCGTTCTGCTTTAAAGACACAACTGTCACTTATTATGTATTAGGCATTTATGATTAAAAGCACAAAGAGGATCAATAAACGATGAACTACAAAATTAATGGTTAGATAATCAAGAAAGAGGTAAACTTTAGATCTCTTCTATTATACTTACGGGCTTCTTCTCAATTTATTTTTTTTATACTAATTCATCCATTGTATGCTTCACAAGCTGATATATGAAACTATGACGTACAATGTTTAATTGCACAACTATTTGTTAATCAATTTTTTAATAAAAAAATTTCAGATAACCTACTAGTTGTCTTTAATCAAATATTTATTAAAAATTTTCAATTGATTATTAATAAATATGGGAGAAGGGTAAAAGGTGAAAAAGGAAAAAGGGTGCAAAACATTTGATTGTGAATTTTGTGCACGGCCAAAGACAACACTGATAATCAACAAGCTCTTGGCCAAGTGGAAACAACTCGGATTTTCTAGCCGTAAGAATTCGGAGAATGCTTGAGTTTAATTTTTCACAGTTACAATAGTTTACTAAAATTAAACTTATTCTTCAGTATATAGAACACGCGGTGGGACCTGAACTTTAGTCCTCACGTGTCAAGTAAGTGCAATGGTGTCTCTTGTATATAATTGTGTGATGCTAAAGAACAGTGTTCCCTGACAGATATATAAAATAATCTATCTACATATCTATTTTATGAACGAGAGTGACAACACTAATGCACTTTAATTTAAAAATATCTTAGCACGTGGAGGAGTAAAGGGGTGCAAGATTGGAACCCGTGACTATTTTTTACCTAAAACAAAATGGAGCATAAGTCATATAAGCTGTGGGTCCATAAGTGCCAGCTCCTTGCAATTTCATATATGTTTTACTATTTCTTAATAATTAGTAACTACCCAAATTAAAATAAATAATTAAAAATTATTTTTTGGTATATAACCAAAAAAAAAAAAAAATCTTTTTGCTACTATAGTGTTATGTTGGATAAGGTTATGGTTATCAAAAGAATTTCGATATAATTTGATAAAGATTAGTAGTTGAACATCTTGCTCTAATGCATTTATAGTTATTTAATATAAAATTAATAAAATAGAAAAAATAATAAAAAATTTACAAGTATCCCACTTGCATTATTCAAAAATAGAATTAATTTTTTCTTGTACTTAGTTAGATCCATGTTGTGGGATATTGATGGCAGTCCAATTATATCTAAATTTTATTATTTTAATTATATACAATGTTTACCAAAATTAAAAATCTATTGTATCTTTTTCCCAATTAAATTTATTAATGCTAAGTCTCTCAAAATTTTAAAAATTATTTGATTAAAGACTAATAAAATTAAATAAGTTGTTTATGTTTAATATCAACTGAATTTTTTGAATTAATTAATTTTATTATCTTTAAAGGAATAAAATTGACACCCCTGTCCTCCAATAATTGGTGGAACATTACCAAACTGTCCATAGTGCCATTGGAATGCAAACCTACCCACTCCTCGCCCAATCGCTTATCAGCATATCTCTCTCTCTCTCTCTCTCAAATTCTCAACGTTCCTCTTAAAATCTCTACTACTAGTCTTTTGCATAATGTCCAAATATCACAAATTTTTAGCAAGAACATGAATATATTTGTATACATTATTAATCTTATAACAAAAGAACTTTCCAATTAACTTCTCTCTGATTTTTACCCTTCTCAATTCCTCATTTCATACCACTGATTCTTCCTCAAATTCAAGCCTTCACAACCCAAGAAATTAGGAAACTTGTCATTTTATTCTTTTTTTCCATCATCCATTTTTACTGAAAATAGTCCCCTTTTTTCTGTTCTTTGCCCCAAACCCCATATCAAAGGAACCACCTTTTTCTCTTTGCTTTCTATCTTTATTCAGATAACAAGGGTAATAAGTAGAATGATCTGAAAAAACTTGAGGTATTTCCCTCTGTTGTTTCTGTTTGTGTTTGTGTTTGTTTTTGTTTTTTTTGTTGTCATTTGTTTATTTACTTTCCCCTTTTTACCAGGTGATGTTGTATCTGAACTCAAAAGTTTTCTGAAGAGCCCATTTGTGGAATGATTCAAAATTTTCATTTATTTTTTTAGATTTTAAGAGATTAATGCATCACAAATGGACTTTAATTGAATCCTCTGATACCCATATCCAAAAAAACCCATTTTCCAGTTTTTGAAAAGTCTTTTCAAGCTCTTACCTTTCAAAATTGACCCTTTCATGGTTCT